TTTCTGTTAGCGGTAGTGTCCCTAACTTACTTTAACTATTTTAAGGTGGTCAACTTGTTCATTGCCTTGGTGATGAGTTCACTCAATACTGATGCCTCAGGAGGACAAGAGGAACCTGGAGAAAGGACTAAATGTCAGATTGCCCTTGCACAGATTCACCAGGGCCTGAAGTCTTTGAAAGACAGAATTCTGGATCTTTGTGGCAAAAAAATGAAAGGAAGCCTCAGAAAAACAGACAAAAAGAAGACTTTGGAAGAAATTTCTGGCAAAAACATAGAGGATAATAATTATGCCATGACAGATGTCAGAAAATACATAGACAACAATGGCTTTGACATGGAGTGTTACCATAATGAAAAGAATTCCTCAATTATAAGGAAATATAAAGATCTTTCCAGCAGTCACAGTACCTGTGTTCCCACTGAAGCAGCAGAGAGTTACAGTGACAAAAGTGATGATGAGCACATTGTGTTCACAGAAACAGAACACAGAAAACAGGTAAGAACTATTCACATTTAAAACAAAATACTGTAACTTACTTCTGTAATTGCCACCTCAAAGACTCAAGAGTAAATATTATCCCTTCTGTCATTTCTGCCATTTTACTTTCTTTGTTCTTTGAGTGCAAGGGCTACCAAATAGTCTTCATTTTCTGAAGACATTTTGAATATCCACTTTTTCACCATCCTCTTCATGGATAGCCCTAATTCTGCTTTTGTCTGTTTTGTTTCCAACTGTTGCTGTCAACAAATAAATGAAGTTTGATGAAGACAGACATTCCTTCATATTGTCTCCTTTGTCTTATGTTTGGATAGTTTCTAACACAGGCCTCTTCAGCTGCTTATATATTACCCCTCAGTTGCATGGCATCCAAAGAGAAGGCAAAGAAAAGCTGCACCTGAAAAAATATTTTCTTTTTTAATTACGTTTTAACCTCTATGATACTTTGGACTCCCCTTTATATCTTGTGATTTTCTTGCATCGGGCAGGATAGAGCTCAAGTCTTTCTGCCTGTGAGTTAGACATTTGTACTGTCATGATCGTACATAGGCCTGTTTGAGATATTTCAGGTGTCTGTCACACCCATCCAGAACTGTCAAATAAGACACAGGAGCTATAAGAACTCTTTTCACCAAGTTACAGAATTGTTTGGGTTGGAAGAGACCTCTGGAGATCATCCAGTCCAACTTCCCAGCAAAAGCAGGGTCACCTAAAGCAGGTTACAGAGGAGTGTGTACAGGCAGGTTTGGAATGTCTCCAGTGGTCAGTGTCTACGTGGATTGCTAGGATCCATTTCCTATAGTTTTGGTTATATTAGGGAGCATTGTCAATGGAATACCTTTGGACAAATTTTTGGAATATCTTTGGACAAGAAGCAAAAATTGCTGATCACCTTAGAATCATCTGTGACCATTTCAAATATGTTATCTAGAAGCATTTGATGACAAAAACTGCTGCAGTGGAATCTGGTCTTTCTTGGAATTTGTGGAGACAAAAGGACTGAGAACTGATTGGGATCACTTAGGTCTTCTTGGGGAATGATGAATTTCCACAGTAAAACTTCAGGAGCACAGTATTTGAAATCGATGGAAAAACTATTCTATTACAAGCATTTTCGAGATATCATTTAATTATCTGTAAAAAGACAAACATAGTAGTGGAAGATTCTCTGCCCATGGCAGGAGGGTTGGAACTAGTTGACTTTTAAGGTCCCTTCCAACTCAAACCATTCCGTGATTTGGTGATTCTATGATTCTAGCTCTTGTGTATGTTTTAGATTCTGTAAAAGAATTTTGACTTTTAAGAAAGACTGTCAGGAAGGAAAAATGTGGAAAATCAACTAGTTTTCATAATTTCCTGCAGGGAGACAGATTACCACATAAAGAACAGCAACAGAGTTCAGGCAGCTTCAGTCAGATTTCTGAGACTCCTGAAACCATAAATGTTTTCATAGTGACACATGAAAAGCAAGAGCAAAAAGAGGTAATTCTAACTTTTATCATCTTGTGGAATATGCTAGAGATTCAAACTCTCACAGCTGTTCTCTCATTCAGCAGTGACAGGACAGATTGGGATTTTCCAAAGAGTAACAAGTATAATACCTGTGGAGGTGGCACATCTCCCTAGAGACAGTAATAGCATGGAGGTTTGTGTCTCATCAATAGCCATGGTTAATGGTGTAACTTAATGTATAATTTTGTACAAAATAAGTAAATAGAAATTAACCAGGAAACACAATGACTTTAAGCATGTCTGATACGTGCCACCTGTTTCTATGGATAATTCTGTTTGCTGTCATTACTGGATACAAAAATGTGCTCTCTAGAAGTGGTTCCCTGAGCAACCATGCTTTTTCTGGTATAGAAACCCACCTCATTCTAATGTTCCATATCAAAAAAAGGTGGAGAATCATGGCTTGCCTCTGATGACCCAGCAAATTAAATGGAAGTTCAGCATCTTTCTGGATTACTACCCCCAAAAGTCCAACCCCATAAGCATTTTCTGGTTTTATGCAGAGTCACCAGAATTTTTCTTTATATTCATTATTGAAATGTGTTTATATTTAAAAATAATATTGAAAACATTAATTTAAATAATTGCATTTTTGTATATGGTGAAGATTCCCTAGGACCTTAGACTAGTGTAGAGCATCATGGCTGTCGACAGAGGAAATTCTCCCTTCTTCTGGCTTCCCATTATTATCCCTATCCTTGTGCCTTGCCTTTCCATGCCATACGGGGCATTTACACATTATGGTTGATAGATTTCTTTACTCTTTTTTTCTTGTACTTGCTTTCCTTATTGTCTTTAGTTTTACAAGTGTGTAGGTTACCTACCAGTAATTGCAATTCTTTGAGGTGTGTAGTCCATACATACATTTCTATCCTGCTAGACCTTCCCATCTTCAAGCCTTTTGAGACATGGTTTGTATCTCTGAAAATGAAAAGAGAATTTGCTTGGCCTGAACGTAGGAATTCATATTAGAGGAAAAGTGCTGCAAAGCATTCTGGGACTTGTAGTTCCAAGTTCTCTGTCTGACATGTGCAGTGGAGTGCCTTGGTGTGATTGATTGAGAGATCACGTGTCATGATTTAAATATTGTATTTAAGCTGCTGTTTTTTTGTAACAAAGCTAATTCAAACTGCACTTCGTGTAGTTTGAGTTTGTGCCAAAAGTAGTACCACAAATGGCGCCCAAACAAGGACATTCAACAGGCATCTACTACACCTGAAGAAGTCAGACTTTTCTCCAAAGTTGTAGCATAAGAAAGTCTTCTTCTTCATGTATGTCCTGTTTTGATGACAAG